AATTCCTCACAGGTCACGTGGTACAGTTCCCGTTCTATAAGTGTAGAATTCTGTGCCGTGAATACAACACCGCGTTCCAAAAAGCCTGCTGATGAAATCGTGAATTCCACACCTGTGTGGAATTCACGACCGCACAAGGCGGGATTCGAATATGAAAATCGTGAATCCCACACTTTTTCGAAAAAAATGACCATCTACGGCAAAAAATGTACTACAGTATTATTTCTAAATGGTAAATGATTAGATTTATCCATTTAGGTTATATATTGGACGCCAAATGACGGAAAAAATCAGTTTTTCTCTCTCCTGTAAAATTTGCTTCGTGTGGAATTCACGATTTCATCAGGCGACCGACGATATCATGTCTGATAGTGCAATCGTGTTTTCGACTTTTTTTAAAACATGTCCTAAATATCTCCATCTTCTCCTTTTTTTTTTTTTATTGTTGTTGATATCTTCAATTCCAGCTCTTTCCAACTGTCCACACTACTTGTAATAAATTCATTCCATTCTATTAATAAAATGCTTTGTAAACATTGATTTGTGTTTAAGCTTTTTTTCTAAAGTTTGTTGAACTGTTTTGTTTGTTTTCTATATCTCTAAATCATGCGTCAGGGGAGCCAGAGCATTGCTGCTATATATTCTTAATTTTGACCAAATGGAATCATCTTTTTAAAAAATCGATCCATGCATTTTTAAGTCTTCAGTGGACGCCGCCAATGCAGTCTGCAGTTTTGGAGATAAAGCTGCTAAGGTACTTGAATTTACTCATTTCTGCAAGAGGTTCTCCATAAAGAGGGATAGGAATAGTTTCTGGTGATAATCACAGCACTTCTGTTTTGGACACATCGATAAGAAGACCCCCTTTTTCTGCCGCTCTTGCTTATTCATTTGTGTTTAATTGCATTTCATGTACTGTGGTTTTCATATGCAAATGTCACCCACAAAATCTAAATCTCCCAAATATTTGCCATTTGTCCATCCAGAGCCTGTTCAATGCCTTTGCTCTCTCTCTCTCTCAAAGTCGATTACAATTTCAAAAAGTACAGGAGATAATATACAGCCTTGTCTAACTTCAATATTAACTTTTAAAAGTTTAATTAGTTCTCTTTCAACAAGGAAACAGCAGCTTACTTTGGTATATAATAAATTTATACCGTTAATAATTTTGTTTGGATGCTATAAATTATGAAAATTGTCCATCTGACCTTTAGGTCTATGATGTCAAAGGCTTTTTTAAAGTCCACAATCATCCCAATCTCCATAAATTGGTAGTATACCTTCATACTTGTTAGATTAGATTTTATTTTAAATTTTGTAGCAACGTCTGGTTTTCTAAGTTTTGATGAATCAAAGTGTTTTGTTTTTTAATTTTATTTTATTGGTTACTGTTACCACCTGTCTTTTTAATTCCATTTTGATTGTTGCTATGCAGAAGAAATAATCCAACCCCACATCTGCCCCCCTCTACGTGTAGACATCAATTAAAGAGGTTCTGAATTTCTTCCTAATGGACAAATCGTCTATTTTATTTTAGTAATTCCATCTGGAAAACACCAAGTAAGTTAATGGATAACTGTGTGGATTTAATGATACACCTATAACAAGACTGTTTAGCTTTCACACCTTAATCAATCTCTCTACATAGTTATTTATATTGCCATCTCCATGATGGCCCATTGTACCTTCTATTCCTTCCTTTGTTTCTCCTACTTTTGTATTCATGTCACCTATCACACAAAGTATGACATGCTGAGGAGCTTTCGTTGATAGGCTTTTAAGACCGTTGTTGAATTTGCCTTTTGCTTCTTCTTCGATGCATAACACTGTATAATTGTAATTTTGAAATGTCTTGTTTGGAATCCTGTTCTCAATTCAATGGTCTGCTGATCCCCTTTTAATAAGGTCTTTGAGTGCTGCTTTATTTAATAGGATACCTATTCCGCGTTGTCGCATATAGTTTGTCCTGAATACAGTCGTGTTTTGTTTTCCATTTTAAGAAATATAATTTTCCCATGGCATAGCCAGCGTGTTTCAGTCAGGTTTAGTATATTTAGATGGTATTTACCCGTTTCTTTTGTAATTTGGGCCAATTTTGTTGTTTGGAGCTTGATTCTAACGTTCCAGTTGCCCATTTTCAGGTGTTTATTTGTTTTCATTCAGAGTGGAGCTCCTCGGGCTGTTGACCATCATAATAGTTCCATATGAACTGCTCCCCTCTTTCAACATATTTACAGGGTTACATCGTCTGTTTTCCCTTTCAATAACATCGTCAACCTCCAGAGTAATATCCTCATAACATTCAGTAGTTGCTGAAGGGGGCAATGCACTGGTGCCAGGTGGCCATTTCGGATTTTTTAAAAATATCCTCATCTGCCCTTTGCTTTTAGAGAAATAGATCTCTCATACGCCAGGTATCCTCCATATTTGACTCTCAGCTGAAGATAAAATGCTATTTATGGGGGCCTCAATTCGCCCGATGACCATTTCGTTGGACACGATGCGGTATCTAACAAGAGCAACAGAACCACCAAAACTACCCCACCTCGCCCTCTGAGTTGGTTGACTGTTGCTTATTGGGTGTTCGCAGCAAACCCCCATGTGTGGAAGCGTTCCAAAATTCCACCATCAGTGACGCACTGGATTGGGGGTGGTCGCCCCCCGCTTTACCCTGTTGGAATTGCTTACCGTGTTTTTATTTGATCCATACTTCTTAAACTATTTACATGAATTGTTTCTATACACATTTGTTCTTGTCTATATTCCTGTATTCATGTACCCAAACATTGATATGCATATTCGTGTGCTTTGTTATGCCCATGTGCGTGAAAGCTGCCGTTATAGGCTATTAATATGTCTTGTAAAGCGCTTTGAGTATTGAAAATTATGGAAATGCACTATATGAAAGTCATGTATTATTACTACTATTATCATTATCCAGCATGACATAACTTCGGGGTCAGCAGACCTGTCAAGTAATCCAATAAATGATTCCATGAATAACTTGCAAACATTCCATTCACGCTGAAAATACTTGTGCAAGTCTGTTTTTCATAGAGGTCTGGAGAATTGGTTTTTTGGCTTACTTTTAGTACAGAAAGGGTAGACTTGAGGCCTTGACAAGAATTACAAAAGAGTAAATCTGGAGTTATGAGAAGAGCGTATTTGGGACATGGCTCATGAAACCATCAGATCTTTTAAAATTTCAGTCTTTGTTTTTATTTGTTATAGGTAATGGTGATTGGAGGGGACCATAGTGGGTTCTACTTCTTTTCTCTGCCTGTGCTGCTTCTCTCTGGCTTTTTTCCTTCACTATGTGCCCGTTGCTACATCGACATTTTACTGTTGACCTCACTCACTGACTCACACTCTTGAGTCTACCCGTGCAATAACAATTCTATAAATATGATATGACAGTGAGTATACACATATTAATATCACTACTAACCATAGCTTTCCCTTTTCTTTAGCCTTTCTGATATGTTTTTCTCGTACACACCATTAATTAAGCATCATGATGAAGTGTGCGCATACTTTTGTTTCCATAGTGTAGTCATTAATCCCTTTTCACGTTCCTGACGAAGCGCTCAGCAGCAAAACGATGAACTTTTTCAGTATTACAATTGTTTAAATTCTGCAGTCTCCATCATTTTTTTATTTATTTTTTTTAAATTTGGGGGTGGGGGGGGGCAATTTTTTGGGGGGGTCAACAATGATGATGATGATTTTTTTTTTGTTTCCTTAATGGGCCTGGCGGACCCCACAAAGAAATCTTCCAGCGAGAGCGAGGCTCTTTTTCGGCTCCATTGTCAATATGCTTAGCGGCACCTCCGCGCGTCCAAATAACCCCATTCGAATTGCCATTGTTCCTGGACATTCAAACATGTTTGACATCCTCCTTTCCATGGCCCCATCTTCGGCAACATGGGCTGAGCTCTTCATTTACAAAGTTCTAATGCCATCTTAAGCTCCAATGATGGTCCGACCGCAGTCTCGCTAGCTCAACCTGGTCCCAGCGACATGTGATAGATTTTTGTTCCCGCTTTTAGGAGTACCCAGAATACACACCTTCCACGCGCTGGTACCTAGCTCTACATGGTGGGTCTCTTATTTCCCTCTTGATTATTGGAATGATGATGATGATGATGATGATGATGATGATGATGATTATGATGATGATGATGATGATGATGATGATGATGATGATGATGATGATGATGATCAGAAAATGATGATAATGATGATGATCAGATCATGATGATGATCATGATCATGTTCATAATTGTTCCTCTCCACCTCAACAAATCCACGACACACAAGAAATTGACATTGAAAAAACATTTATGTTCATCTCCTCCCCCATAATATGTACAACAATATAAATAATAGGAAATCAAGTCTGTTGTTGTTGTTGTTGTTGTTGTCGTTGTTATTAATGTTGTTGTTGTTGTTGTTGTTGTTGTCGTTGTTATTATTGTTGTTGTTGTTGTTGTTGTTGTTGTCATTGTTGTTATTGTTGTTGTTGTTGTCGTTGTTGTTGTTGTTGCTGTTGTTGTTGTTGAAGGGCGGGGGTGCAGGCGAAGGCTGGATTTGGGGTGTGGGGGAAACTCGAGCGGTAACAGTAAATACTCAGAATATTCACATTTTTAAGTAAGCAGGGAGCACTGAAGACGATGTAAAATTATTGTTTTGACTTTTGGCGATAAAAGATAAAATACTAAATTCCATGTGCATGTACATTTATGAGGACTTTTAAAATATTAACTCTAAAACAGGATGCAAACAATCAAACATGGGTTCTCTGGTATGGTTTGCTCCTTCTTCCCTGTCAAACATATGTCGTCATTATCTATCCTCCTTCGTATGTTACTCTCTAGGAATACCTCTTATCTCCCGTACTTATATACTTATATAATAATTATGTTGCAGGAGCTGTAAAACTCTTACTCAAACATTTGTAAAGCATTCAAACAAAAGATATTTTAGCCAACTTGTGCGAGGCCGAGTGAAGTTTTTCGTATTATTTATAGACAGGTCGATTCTTTCTGGCTGATATTATCATATTAACCATTAGTGCTGTCCGTGTCTCGGGGAAATAAACCTCTTTAACTTGTCGTGGTAATCAGCTTCACACCAATCTGTTCCCTCTACTCAGCGTCTATCTCCGTCTGGTTACCTGGGATGCCTACGTCACAAACGCGGAGAGCGAGGGTGTTTTTGATGGACGTGAGTGTGTCATAATCGGCTATCGTGAATATGAAATTTTCGGATGGTTCAGAGGCGATGGCCTCCAACTCCTGATCGTCTACATAAGGGCCCACTCCTGGAGATGGAAATAATTGATTGGAAATGGCATTAGTCCGAAAGAACACAATTCAGTTCTTTTAAGCACGGTCTTGTTCTACCACTGTTGTCAAATTCTATCACAGCTGGGTGGGCTTCTGCATGTCAATACAATATAATATATTATACAAATATATTTTCACGAACAGTTCTGAGCTGAGGAGACGTTTACTTTTCCTTAATAGTACCGGATAGGACTTCATCTGTAAGGCTCATCTATCTGGTGAACATAAACGTAATGGGTTTGTCACGTTCTCGTCGTAACATTGCGCTACCTTAGAATTACAAAGATCTATCTGACATTGTTAGCTGTTTTGAGTTACCAAGACCATGAGATCGAAACCAAATTTTAATGTTCTATCTTTTCAATCCAAATCGTTAGAATATTCGGAGTCGTTATCTAGATATTTAAAGAATTGCATTCGAAAAAGCTTGACATGTTGTACAGCTCTAAATATTTAGCGTCAAATTTCTGAACACTAGGTACTGAGCAAATAGAACGTGTAATTCTAGGGTAGTGTTTGAGACAAGCTGAAGCCAAAACGTTGAGTCCTACAGTAACCCAAACCTTGGATTGCGGTGACAATATACCGGGGGGTGCCACGGCAGGGCTAATTTTGTGGGGAAATTGGACAAAAAAGTCGTCGCCATTGGGCAGATCCGGCAAAATTTAGAGAGAAAGTGGACTGCTGTAAACTTAAGGCTGACCTTTAGCAAACACAAAAGTGTGCCACAACTATAAGCAAACACAGACATGTTACAAACACAAAACCACCATTGGCGATAAGCAAACACTGGCCTATAGCAAACACAACAATCAGCAACTGCTTTAAGCACAATACGGACCTATAGCAAACACAAAAATCAGCAACTGCTTTAAGCACAATACTGACCTATAACAAACTCAACAATCTGTAACTGGTATAAGCAAAACAATGTCCACAGCAAACACAAAAATCTGCATCAGCTGTAAGCAAATACTGACCTATAGCAAACATTAAGACCCCTGAGTCTTTGAGAACGTTGGCCTGAGCCTTAGTTTCCGTCGAGTTCTCAGAACGGCCGTCGGTGACGACGATGACAACATGGGACACGTTAGACCTGGGAGGCAGCAAATAGGGGGGGGGGGGAGAAAAGGTAACCGATAAACAGACGGTAGAGAGCAACACTATTAATAGGTCATCTTCTGTTTCTTTTTGTCTTTCAAGATATTCTTACCGACAAAATGTATCATTGCGGGCGCATCGTTAGTTCAGTAGGTATCATGCTGGACTACGTAGCGGACGGCCCTGGTTTGAATCCCAACGGGGTGTTCTAAAGTGGGGTTGTTAGGGGGAGCTTTTAAAGCGATCTGCCTATTTGACTTGGTCCTGTTGGATATGGAAGTTAAATTCGTTGATCGCACTTCTTGTACAACATTATAGCGTTGAAAGGGGTGTTAAATCTCTACAATGACGGACAAACCATGATATACTGAGCGCTGTGTAAAATGCAGCAGTTCTGAAAGGCTAAAATAAGCCAAATGTGAAAAAATATATTTATTTGGTATTTGGCCCGAAGTCCTTTCGAAATAAAAGTCATAACTTTTTGCGATCAATTTTAATTTTCTTTCATTACAAGATACCCCAACGTAGTAAAGCTCACCGTTGTTTTTGCCTCTACCTAGTTCAAGGCGGAAATTGTGCTAGAGAAGCAGCAAGACGGTAAAACTGCAGTACCTCTATTGTTTCTAGACTTATCCAAAGCTTTTAGCGCACTAGAATTATTGCAGATATACTAAGAATATGACAACCTATTGTTCCCCCCCTGCAAAAGTAACATCTCGGGGCATGCAAGGAGTGCATGGATATGTTTCTTCCCCCACCATGAGGTGTCGACTAGATAGTTAAGGACTAAGATCAAGAAAGCCTTATTTAGGGCTGTCATTGACGAATCCACGACGAAAGGGTCGTCTTCATTAGGCTAAACCTTTAAGACGCATTGGGACCTCTCGTTCTTTCAACACGATAATGCTCGCCCCGACACTGTTTTTAAAAAAAGTTTATAAATGAATGTTATTGACTTGCTAGCTTTCTGACCGGACACGTCTGTAAAAGAGCACATCTGAGATGACCTGAACCGCAAAGTGCGTGGAAGAGGCTTTTTGTGAATCTGCAGAAAATGAAGGTCGCTCTGGGGCAAAAGAGGGACATAATTTTATAGCAAAACACTGAAAATACTTTTAGACACATATGAAGACATTTGTCTTTGTCTTTGTACATTCTATTTGGGGCAATACAGGTTACTCTTGAAGAGAGAAAATATTGTTACGTTTCGCTTAAAGCTTCACTGAATGTCAACAGGGGGTACTCCTAAAGAATGAAGACAGGGAATCAATATCATTTGAAGTAATGTTCTATAAATGTTTCACATGAGTTGGAAAAAGAATGAACTTCAATTAACACTTCTTGTAATCTTTTTTTTCCATTCCATACGAATATGTACTGGCTACCCAAATGACGCATTGCGTTTTAAATGGGGTTCAGTATAATGGGTCATCGTGGTGCGAGCGTTGTCCTTTTGCATAGTGGTCTTTTTTTTATCTTTTTATACACTCATACACACACACACACACACACACACACACGCATACACACACATACACACACATACACACACATACACACACATACACACACATACACACACGTGCTTGCTTTTCTCCCTTGCAACACCTCTGATCTTTTATCACTTATGTGAACTAATTATGCTGCAAGTGCCGTAAAGATCTTATAAAAACTTGAAACTAAAAAGACAAAGATATACCTGACTCCACGTTCTGAGATGAGCACCGAATCGTTGACCAGTTTGAGGGCATCGCCTGTGTTGGTGCCACCTCCGGTGTAGCGAATCATCTCCACGTGATCTCTCACGTCTTTCTGATCATAAAACTCGTCAAGATGGAACTCCACAGTAGCGTTGGTGCTGTTGTGTGAGGGGAAATGGATTAAGGAAATGGGGGAGGATATGTGCTAATTTACAGAGAAATCTCAATCCACCCCTTGAGACACAGGTTGCCAAAGTGCAGGGTAAGCTACTGAAATCTTATACAATCGAAATTGTCTGGGATGGCCACCCACAGGGGAAGAAAACAGCGGTTGTCTTAGACGGGTGGGCGTCCTGGACAGTGTCAATTTAATATAAAAATGCAAGAAGGGAGAAGGAAGTGGCCGTTTGTACAGGTGCTTGTCTTGGACTAGTGGCTGTTAGAGCAGGCTAGACTGTACATTGAAGTGTTAGCCAAATTGCTCAGTCGATGCTTTATGTGTAATGGCCCAGTAACCAATATAGACACAGTTTTGTTTTTCTTAATTAAGAAAGATTCTTCCACAAACCCACCCCACCCATCCCTTCCCATTCCATGACACTTAAGTATATGTTAAAACAAGAGGTGAAAGGGCATTTGAATACCAAGGCCACAAGATCTGGAATGCTTTACCAAGTACTTTAAGACAGATCAAATCTTTTGATTCATTCAAATGTCAGCTGAAGTCGTTTCTGTTTTTAAGTTAATAAGATGAATATTTGAAGTGATTTTCTTCTAGTCAGAACACAACGTGTTATGTTATGGTGTACGTTGTACTGTATTGTAATGCGCTCAGAGCCAGTGTACTATATTTGGGGTTGAGCGTTATATAAATGTCATTCATTATTATTATCAAGTATAGCCTAACCACAACTCATCATAATATTATTATATTGCAGCTATGAGACAGAAATGAGTATAATTTTTAGATTTAATACCTGCTTTTTAGTTTGAACTCCCATTAATGCAGTATTGTTCTTTCGGGTGCTTGTACAGACAATGTTTTACTATGGATTTAACAAATGTTCGAAAACGTGTTTCTGTATGACAAGAATAGCAGAATGCATTATATTTTCATTCATTTTATTGGTGCCAACTTTTTCAGGTATTCGTTTCTTACGGGAAACATGAGAAGCTTTTATATCAGAAATACGGTAAGAATGCGGAAGTGGAAACAAAATATTTTCCAAGTATCTTCTGATTGTCTGCGTTGGCAATCTAGAGAGGAACGTCTCTCCAGGCCCGCGAGCGTCACGATGAGTAAGGTAGAAACCAGGTGTTCCTTCATTTGTTTATTGATTGACTGATATTGACTGGTTGATTAACTGGTTGATTCATTATGTCCTTATTTACGTTTTCATTAGTTTATTTACTCATTCATTTATTTATTACGTTGTGCATTTACTCAGTCATTTATTCCGCTATTTATTCCTTTACATTTTCCTTATTTCGTTTACATGCATGAATTATAAATTATTTCTCTGATTTTTTTTTTATTTCAGGAAAATGAAGGGTTCAAAGTTCTTATGGTTTTAAGTTAATAACCGATTGCCCAACTTTGCCTTTTATGTCACTTTGATAGCAGTCAGTAGTCTAGTGGTTTGGGTCTCGGACTGGCAACTGTAAGGTTATTGGTTCTAATCATAAGATAAGATAAGATAAGATAAGACATATCTTTATTGTCCGAACACACACACACACACACACACACACACACACACACACACACACACACACACACACACAGAGGCATACACATGCAGGCTTACAATTACATGCATAATATAAATGAGCAGCAATATAAACAATAAAATCTTAAGCTAGATACATACTCAATGGTATTCTGATGCATGCTCTAAGGTCGTATGAATACGTATGCAAAATGGTTAAGAAGGAAGAATTTTGATGAATGGTGTCATGGATCTGACCATGTGTCCTTGGGAAAGCACTTTCACGAATTTTCATCACATTACCCAGTTAGGAATTGGTACCCGTCTATATACAGCGAAATATCTAGTGTTTGTTAGTGTTTGAGTGCGTGAAATCAGCAGCTTGCATTGTATGCTTCCCTAGAGGTCGAGAATATTTCTGGGTGTACTATGGTCTGCTGGGGGTAATAAAAGGTTGTAAAGCGCATAGAGCATGCTGTAGAGCAGATGTATGCACTAAATAATTCCATTTGATTAATCTGCAAGGCTGGCCCTTTGTGTATTGAAATGCAATCATGAGAAGTGACAGTGTATTAAGACTACCTGAAGGAGATGGCGGCAACTCTGGTCTCGTTTTCACCAATGTCAAATATCCTAATGAGGCTTGACACAAAGGCCAGTTGTTTCTGGAAGTCATGCATAAAGATACTGCTAGATATGTCCAACACAAACACCACTTCCGCAGGCATCTGATAGCAAGCTGAGGACGGGAATATAAGGGACATGTCAGTGGGCTGGACGGGCGGAAGGGGGCGAGGCAGAGGCTAGAAGTTGAGCCTGTATGGGGAAAAGAGAAACGGGCATGGTGGGGGAAATATAAATTGGAAAGATAACAATGTTAATGATATGATTGATGCTTCTTCTTACTGAAACTGTTAAAACTATTTCATATGGTTACCAGCTTACTTAACTACTGAAACATCCTAACATCCCCATGACAACAAAACTCAAAATAATCAACACCATATTCATCCCAACACACATGTATCAATGCCAAACATTGACCACGAACAAGACATTAGAGTAAAGAATTACAACATGTGAAATGCGATGCCTCAGAAAATCAGTAAACAAGACCAGGCTAGACAAAATTAGAAACTCAGTAATCAGAGAGATGGTGGGCTCAAATGATGCCATGCATCACATCCAACACCAAAGAATCAAATAGTTCGGACATCTCCCACGATTACCAACACATCATCCAGCACAACGTGCCTAAATAAAAAAAAATTCGATGGCAACAAGGCTAGAGGGCGACTGAAAAAGACCTGGATAGATGGAGTCAGGGAAACATTAACAACTCACGGGATCCCCTGACCCAAGCTCTCCGGTTTGTGGCAGAGTGGCGTCTCTTTCTTCCTGCGACACCAAAAGGGTATAAGCGGTGGATAAAAGTAAAGTAAAGTAAGCCCACGCCACCTACGCCGTCTATTCTCCCTAAAACACGGGCTACCATCCAACACCACGGACACCTCTGGGATCTCAAAAACTACAAAAGTATTTCATACCAGATATCCGTACACAAAAATAATGAACCGGGACAATAAAGAAAAAAATACCATACCTTCCTGTGCGGCTACCTGGTCACTGGGTATATCTGTAAGGCCGGTATCTAAATCGAGGTTGGGTAAAGAGAAAGGAGGGGAAGACATATTATTATAGCATGCCACAGATACCACATGCTGTACGACAAGGATAAAATATGAATATATGTAATAAAGAAGAAGAAAAAGCAAATGTTCTTTCAGTAATGTTTCTTTGATATCGATAAATCTGTCTTCTGTCTTTGATTTCTTTACAATAACATGTAACACTGGATCAGCCAATTAACGCCTAGGGATCTTACACATGATACCTGTACAAGACTACGGGGGGTTTTTTTCATCTAACATGTCCTGTTTACAACTTGGCCCTTTTCCCAATGTAAAGGTTCCCTTATCTCATTTTTTTTTCAATTTCAAGAAAAAGTTGTTCTCCTTCTCGAAATACAGTGTGATAAAAAAAATTTACAACATTTGTGTAAATATTATATTTATTTTCCTCTTCACAAAAGCTTTGGGTTTCAAGTTGAACTCAATATTTGGAGGCCAAAAGGAATTCGTCTGATATCAATTTTAGATAATCCCACGTAATAGTTTTTCTCCGTGTACCACATAAAAAACAACCCATTTTTAAACATATCCTCATTTATGTAGCTTGACGCATCAGTTCGCATTAGAAGAACCACTAAAAGTCGAAACGATTGCGCCATATTGCAAGCCACAGTAGTCTAACATGTCAACAGCAGTTTGCAGATATTGTTTTTTTCTCAAGTTCCCTTTCCCTTCTGACATTATGTTTAAGTTTAGATCTAGTAAAGAGCAGAGAGCTTTTTGAATTAAACATCGCCTCGTCCCCAACTCATCATTCCTGACATTTTGTAAGTTTCACAGAAGGTACGGAAAGAATGCTAAAGTGCCCTCGAGGTCTTTTTAGATGTCATGGGTAGAGATTCTCCGTCAGCTTGAATCTATAGAATTCGTATTGAAAAGTTTACAGTGTGTGCGGTTTTTAAGCATTCATGTTTTAGCGGGTCCACATGTTTGGCCACCACTGAATATTACGAGCGACGCGTCAAAAATGTTTCGAATCTAAAGGAGTACATGTAGAACACTGGCTCCACGAATTCTAGAATAAAAGTGTTAGTTTTTAAATGTTTGTTTGTTTGTTTGTTTAGTATAGGGTTTTACGGCACTCGCAACTGCATAAGGTCATATGAGCGCGCGGGACACACCTAATGCTTTTTCGTTGGTAGGAAATTTTGAATTTTGCCCGGGTGGCGGCCGAAGCCTACTCTTATCGATTTTAGACCACCAAGGGATCTTTAACGTGCGCAACTTGCACACGGGCCCTCCGAGATTTTTCGCCCTTGTCCGAGAAGGCTAGGTGTAGATCTTTCCTACCAGAAGATCAGGGGTGTGGCAGAAAGACAGCAGTTAGGAGGAGCCAAGGAGTAGCAGTAGAAAGGCTGCAGAAAGAGTCAGGAGCCCAGAGGAGGGGGCAAAGGAGGTGAGGGGTGGGGGCAGAAAGTGGAAATGAAAGCAGACAACAGAACATTGTTAGAGATCAGGAAAGGATGTGAAAGGAGACAATTTTAGAGAAGAAAATTTTTTTGGTCGCTACCCGGAATCGAACCCGGGACCTTTGAATGAGAGGCCAACACCTTAACCTTTAGGCCACGAGAGCCCCTTTAAATGTTACAAAGACGGGAAACAATTCATGTTAAAAAAGAAAGGAAGAAAAATAGGAAGCCAATCAGTTCATGGCACTCCTTAAAAGATTATTAATTGATGCATTGTGTGTTTATGGGTGTGTGTTTTTTTATTTAAGCCCTTTTCGTGTTCAAAAATTATTTTCATCTTTATGAATTTCATGCCAAACAAATTACTTTTGAATGATTTACGTCTTTTCTAAATTACAACATTCAAGGACATTTTTGTGCGAGATATTCAGAAAAAAGTGGTCGTTTTGTTGAGGGGGTTTTTTTTGTTGGGGGGGGGGGGTTGTTTGTTGTTGTTTTTGTGTGGGTGGTTTTTTTTCTGGTTGGCATATTTTGTGGGGGGTGGGGTGGTTGGGGGTTTGGGGGGTGGGGGTGTTGGATCACCTTGTACTTTAAGTGTACGTGCTTTTCATTGAAAATTTTGAATAGTTTGTACACAATCGTGTTAATGTTTTCTTTTCTGGGATTTTGGGGTTTGTTGGTTTGTTTGTTGTTGCTTTCTTTGTATGTCTTTGGGGGTTTTTTGCGTTATTTTTGTTGTTGTTGCTGTTGTTTTATTTGTTGTTGCTTTTTCTTTATTTTTTAGGAGCAGACAAGATCGTTTCTAACTAAAGTTTAACTAGATTCTCTCAAGTTCTTCTTTCAGCGCAAAAAAACATAGATCAACTATATTTCTTGTCAGCCATATTCTCCTTACCAGGACAAGTCTTTTCGCTCAATATACCGCCAAGAGAGGAAAGTTCCGAGTACTCTGTGACATTAAACAGGTGGTCGCTGAACGGCTCACTGGCGATTTCTTCTAGTTGGACTTGGTCTAGGCTGTACGTCAGGAGGGAGTGGAGTGGAGTAGTAGAAGAGTGAGCGGGGTAGAGGCAGCAAAAACTTTGACACTTTATTTGGGGCGTGGGGGAGGGGGGGACAGGGAAAGTAAGAAAACGAAATTTGATTCTTGGCATATCTAATTATTTAGCTAGACCTAATTGAATTTATTTTCATATTCCTCTTTGGGTTGATTGGATATTTGTTTATTCATTAGTTCCCAAATTCAATAGTTCACTATCTTTGGGTGGGCCAGAGGCTTGGTTCGAGGATAAATAAGAACATAACAATAAAAAGAGGCCGTAGTAAAGATAGCAATTTTATTTATTATAGAGCCTACGCATGGTTAAGTCCCGAGTTAAGAATTCACTCTAAAAATGAGCTCCCCAAAATATGAGGGTTTTTTCCCCTGAAGAGAAACTAGAGAACAGGTCAAAACCAGTTTGTTTTTTTTTAAAGAAGAACTGGCAGTTCAAATTCTTCTCACAAAGAAGTAGATATAACACTGGACAAAACTGATACAGCTATATGTAAGTTAAAGCTATTTGGGAAGCAAAATCTCAACAGGCAAGATCTTAGCACCCGCCTCCAAGATTATCTAAAAGCATCCAAGAGGTCAACTACATTTACAATCAGTAAACTGTTCCTTTTTATAAACTTTATCTTCACAGCCAAAACGTTTCAAATTGTTTCACCTGCCGACTCCAATAATAAAGATTTCAACCCCATCTCCTCGGGTGAGATTCGCTTGTCTGACTGTCTCAGCCCGGTTGTCGGACAACCCACTTGTGATGGCGATCAAAATATGCGGGACGTCTGGAATACAGAATGCAGTCACTGCTTATAGTCAGTGTTCATAGTCACCACTATTCCTAGAAGCAAACTAGATACTATCAAGAGTTGAAATGTGTTATAAAGAGGAAAACGGCGATTTTGAAAAATCCAACAGAAGAGGATACTACTTGGATACAGCGAAAAATTATGACAATGGCTGTCCTTATTTATATCTTAATGGTCATTATTAGCAGCATAAGCAGCGAGTTAGAAAATGTCCTGTACAACAACTGACCAGCATTCCAATACCTGTAACGCCGGTAGTCTTGTGCTTAGGCAACCGGATTCGTAATTGTGAGATTGAAGGTTCAGGGGTTGGAGCCTCAGGCCCCATGTTATGTCCTTGGTGAAGGCACTTAATAATGAATTTTCCTCACTTCATCCTTGTGGGAATGAGCACCCGGCCATAGACAGTGAAAGATCGTATCAATGTGTTAGTATTTTAGCGCTTATAAAAATGGCAGCTAGCATTGTGTGCTTCCCAAAAAAATTGAAATTGTTTCAGAATACTATCAGGTCCGCTAGGGTAATGATATAAATTGAGCAGGAAATTATGCAGTACAAACACTATATATTGACATCATCATCATCATCATCATCATCATCATCATCATCATCATCATCATCATCATCATCATCATCATCATCATCATCATCATCATCATCATCATCATCATCATCAAAAACAACAACAACATTATCATTCATCATTATCATTGTTGTCATTATCACTACTACTACGACGACTACTACTACTACTACTACTACTGCTGCTGCTGCTGCTGCTGCTGCTGCTGCTGCTGCTGCTGCTGCTGTTGCTGCTGCTGCTGCTACTACTACTACTACTACTACTACTACTACTACTACTACCACCACTACTACTACTACTACTACTACTACTACTACTACTACTACTACTACTACTACTACTAGTACTGCTGCTGCTGCTGCTGCTGCTGAAATGCTAATGCTACTGCTACTGCTACCACTACTACCACTACCACTACTACTACTACTACCACTACAACTACTACCACTACCACTACTACTACTACTACTACTACTGCTACTACTACTACTACTACTACTACCAATACAAATACTACCACTACTACCACTACTATTACCACTACCACTACCCCTACCACTACTACTGCTACTACTACTACTACTACTACTACTACTACTACTACTACTACTACTACTACTACTACTACTACCTGCTGCTGCTGGTGCTGCAAATGCCAATGCTACTGCTACTGCTACTTGTTCTGCTATTACTTATTACATACTACAGTCATGAAGGGCACAAGAAAGACTCGATTACCTCTTCTACCATTTGCTCTCAGAATAAATCGGGAAGTATGAATACCGGAGTTTAGCTTTGTCTCATCCCACTTCCTCTGTTGAATAGCGTCCAAACCACGCTCCACCTACATTTGGAGATGGGAAAGAAAGTAGTTGAGTTAAGGCACAATCAAGGCTTAGGGATGTAATGGGTTAAAGGGTTTAAGTATCGGTGAGATCATTTTCTAGAAAAAATATTGGACTCTAAATTCATAATCCTGATTGCTCGGGTGGGGAGGGGGGCTTGCGCCAACTGCTGAGTTCCAGTTAGGAGAGTAATACCAATATATTGGACATTGGCGCCCAGAGACCCTCGGCTCAGATCAAAATGGCAGTCTTTCAGGTTCAAATGGTTGTTGTCGGAAAGACAGCGGTGCAATTCGTAAACTTTTAAGCGGGGGCTCTCGTGGCCTAAAGATTAAGGTGTTCGCCCCTCGTTCAAAGGTACCCGGTTCGAATCTAGGTAGCGACGGAAATATCTTCTTTTCTAAAATTGTCTCCTTTCACCTCCTTTCCTGCTCTCTAGCAATGTTCTGTCGTCTGCTTTCTGCCCCCCCCCCCCTCTCTCACCTCCTTTGCCCCCTCCTCTGGGCTCCTGGGTCTTTCTGCTGCCTTTCGACTGCTACTCATTGGCTCTTTCTTACTACTGTCTTTCAGCCACATCCCTGATCTTCTGGTAGGAAAGATCTACACCAAGCCTTCTGGGACAAGAGGAAAGAATTTCGGAGGTTCCGTGTGCAAGTTGCGCACATTTAAGGTCCCTTAGTGATCTAAAATCGACAAGAGTAGACTTCGGCCGCCACCAAAGCAAAATTCCAAATTTGCTACCGCTGAGCTTTAAAAGCAAGACATGCACAGTCCAACAGACGGGTCAGTACTTTTCGAGACTCACGTGGAGACGTCTCGATGGGCCGAGTGGCCTTCTTATGCAGCTCCGCAACCAATCAAGTGAGAATACAAAGAACCCATCTCCTTACGCGTGTCGGGACTTCTCGCCGCGTGCGACTGTCGCCAGCGATCGGTCCATGTATCGATCGAAACTTCGAAGCAGCCCACAGACTGGGGGTGTACAGTATAAAGTATCACCATTGGTCACAATACCTAGCCAACGAGCGCCGGTCGACTCACCGTGTGATGTTGTCGGGCAAAAGGTTACACACCTCACGACTCATCGCTAGCGACTGCCATGCGCGACGTTTCGTTTGGTGAATTTGTCACTGGTTCTATTAAAGAGGAGAAAGAAATTTTAGGTAGCTCCAACGGAGGCTACATATTTGGCTAATAATGTCAATAACACGCTTCACAATCATGTCTTGCCTAGGCTTCGAGAACAAAATGATATTCTGTCAATTTTTTTTATCTGAAATGGGACTAGGTTTCTTAAACACTGCATGCTAGGTGTATTTAGGTGTGCAACTTCAATTCGCGATTTTACGATAGTGAAAGAAATTTGCTAGCCCTATCGTTGGAGAAATAAATTTAGGTTAAAAGGGATTCTACTGCATTGGAACACACGTCACTGGGCGACTCAAATCGCAAATTCAACTTGTTATTTTAAAAATGGCAAGGACAAAGCGAGAATTTAAAAAATGAGGACGCGGTAATCAACAACACATGTATTGTAATACTCTGCGTGTTCAAGCGGTAGCATTAAACCTATCACTTCCACTTTCCATCCCGAACAGAAATACGAAAAAAGTCACCATAAACTGACCTATGTGGATCTAACTATCCGATCTGAGCTTACCTCTGACAGTGTGTTGTAAACTCCAAAAGTAAACTCAACGTCTGTCCCATGGCTGAATTTGATGACTGCGATTCTGGTACTCGTGAGGCTGATGTCAAACTGGGCCACCAGCTCCTTCACAAAGGTGATCATTTCCTTGAAGTCTTCGGCCGAGATATTTCGAGAGTCGTGCAACAAAAACGCTATGTCCGCGGGCTGGCTGCACGAGATGTTCGAGCCTAAAACGGTAAATGACAGGCAAAGTCTACAATAATGGATTTGGCCAGCCTGGAAGTTAGGAAGCTATTATTATTGTACTTTCTTTGGACAGTACCCCCCCCCCTCTCCCTGCCAATCAAAAAAAAACCTCCATCACACTATCTTTATTTATATTTTTCAATCTCTCTCTCTCTCTCTCTCTCTCTCTATATATATATATATATATATATATATATATATATATATATATATATATATATATTAAGTTACAGACTGACAGTTTCACTCGTTGTATAAATCATGATTTAGCACCATGACTCATGAAATAATTTGTACATATAATATACATATACATGTGTATATATATATAGATATATATATATATATATATATATATATATATATATATATATATATATATCTATATATATATATATACATATATATATACATACTTTTATGTATATTTATATTTATTTATCTATATATAATATATTTATTCCGCCTATATATATAGGGCCTGTATATTTACCCAGAGTCTTTCTGGTTTAATACCAAACTGAATAATAATATGCGCGCTCAAATAACTTTATTATGCAGTTGTGAGCGCCGTAAAACACTTACCCCCGCCCCCCTCCAAAAAGAATTTTTTAAAAATAATATATATTATTATAAATCCGAGTAACAAATAATGAAAAAGTGTTTTGGTACAAAGGTTCAATGTACGTATTTCCATAACTAACAGATATCGAAAGGGATGCAAAGTCCCAATAGATAGCGCTGCCTCTGCTATTTGCTATGGAGTAGAAATAAGACTATAGACCTTGAACGCTTAATTTCAAAGTCCATGATCAACGTCAGACATTTTTGGACCCCCAAAAAAGTTGAAGATAGTGAGAAATATTTGACTTTTAAAAAAAATTTATCTGAGTTAACCTGGTTTTCAACTCCTTAATAGATACCAAGCTGGGAGAGGCAAGAAACCAGTATATGTATACTCCAGAAAGTGATATTGTTGCATTGAAATAGAAGGAGTACGACTCGTGTAATTGTTTATTTACTGGAATTCTGCATATTATTATCTGAGCTCACAGGCTGTTGGGCAACTCGAGTCCCTTAGGGGGTGCCCACTACGGACGGGTCGGCCGATCGCCCGACTCGATTGCCTCAAAAACAAACGTGTTTGTTTTCAGTTTCAGGCGATCGAGTCGGGCGATGGGCCCGATCCAGCCGTAATGGGCACCTCGAGGACAACACTAAAAGGTGACAAACACAAAACAAGAAACTTACCCTGAGCTCCACCGAGGGCAGCCTGTAATATAAGAAAATGAATGGCAGGTTGAGATTGTTGTTGTTGATGTTGTAGTTGATGTTGTTGTTGTTGTTATTGTTGTTTTTGTTGTTGTTGTTGTTGTTGCTGTTGTTGTTGCTGTTGGTGTTGTTCTTCTTATTACTGACTATTATTAATTTTTTCTTCTTTTTTTTTAAAGATACACCTTTTCAAATGGTTAGGTGTTACTTTTTGGTAATGGGGGATCTTTCACCCCCCCCCCCCTTCCCCCTAAAAAAATTAGATCATGAGGTATGGGCGTTAGCTTCGGTCCTGCCTGTCAGGACCAGCTTTTCGGGTCTTTTGCGCCCCGGCAGACTATCAGCTACACACCGCAGACGCCAGTCTCTGTCTTCACAATAAAACAGTATTTGATTCACTCATTCACGTATTCATTCTTTCTTTCTTTTGCCCCCCCCCCCCCCCCCCAAAAAAAAAAAGTACGTAATATTTGCTTTTCGCATCGTGCGGCTTTCAATGTGCGCATCTGGTGGAAGATAAAATATAATAGTAGAAAATTGCGACATAGATTTTTGAAATTACATGAGTTTATTAGCATATTTAAAATAAGCATTCTAAATAATGGTGGAAATTATTTTAAAATGCATTCAAAGATATCAAAAACAACAAAAACAAATTCTATTATGACTAAATAGGTTTACCGTACTTGCTCTCGGGCGTGCATTTTAAATACATTTATTGTACAAAATTATAGCAAAGATTTTATGCTAGTGTAGGGTCTTTGTTTTGTTGTCAACAGATCAAGTGCAGTATAGATAACTACTATATTTGAAAAAAGAAGCCTATCCCTCAGCGAATCTGATTGAATATAATATCCATGGAGAAAACACGCACTTCCTTCAATAAACTCTTGATGCTGCTTCCAGAAACGGTAAATATGACGGGCAGTATAATAATATCACATTTGAAAATAGCTGTCATTGGATAATCAATTATGCAACCAAGTCAGCCGAGATCTAAGATTGCTCCCTTGCAAATAGGCTTCCTGTATTTTATTTTTTCGTCGCCACTTCTAAAGGCTTCTCGTAAACTCGTAAACTATAGCAACGCCCCCCCCCCCCCCCCCCCCTTGATTCTGCTCCCCATTTGCAGAGGTTCGAAGATTTTAATTTGATGCAGTTGTGTGACTCATTGGAAATGTTCATGATACACATTTCTATTTACACAGGAACTTGTGGCGTTAGCTGCTACTTTATTTTAGTCAGTTTTGTGTTGCACACCTCTAAGCAGTCAAGGTGGAGTCTGACTTTGTTCTATGAGCTTCCGTATTTTGTCACTTTATTTTTGTATTTCTTGTCCCCGACTGACGTTCCAGCCTTGTCCACCTTTCATGAGCACACTTTCCACTAAATATAGGATTTGCATCGTCTTCAGTGTTACACTTTAAGAACTTGCCTCTTTCCCAAACAGGAATGTACCAAAAGATTAAGCTCTATGTCGTCATCCAGAAGCTTGACAGCCAGTTTCTTATTGGGCTCGCAGTAGAAAATACATCGGTTCAAACACCGTCAGGGGTTTGAGACTGTTCCCTTGGGGAAGGCTACTTCCAATATTTTTCATCTTCCCATCACGAAACAAGCTATATCATGAGTTCTACGTTTCAAGGTGTTTTATAATGGTATCAAGAAAAACTAGCACGGCAAATGTCAAAATGTCTGTGGTCTTTGCAAGCAAATTGAAAAGGATCAATGTTTCCATAAGCCTTCTTCAAGATAATGCTTAAGATTATTATCTCAAAACATTCTTTTGAATGTGGTGGATGTCTCTGTCGGGGGCCTCAAGGCATTTAGAGTTAAAAAATAAGACTATCTGGGTATAGGCGCAACTTTTAGTGTCCTCCCTTATTTAAGGATTGGACAGTTTGACGAAACAAAGGTATGTAATTGTTAGAGTAAACTGGTTACATCATTCCCTCAGCATTCTCCCTTTAATCTTATCCGGGCCATATTATTTGGCAGTTTCATATTTCCAAATTTAGATCTCAAGTCATTATCGCTGAGTGTCAAAGTCAAAAGAACTGAAACTACTTGACCTATCTTTTCAACTCCCCCCCCCCCCCCCCCCCCCTCAGTTTTATTGTTATCTGCTGAAATCAACAGAGTAGAAACGACCACAGATCCTATTTAGCAACTTGAAGTTATCTTTCTCATTAATAACAAACTCCTTTTCAATGGTGTAGCCCTGATTTTTTTCTAGGAGAATTCCTCATGTTTTATTTTCCTGGTAGTGAATTCTTTCACTAGTTTTTCTTTTCACCCATTTTTACATTCCAGTGCGTTTCATTTTATTTTCTGGGACACGAGCAGTTCTACTTTCTGAATAATATGTTTATCTCTGAACGCATTTTTTTGTTTCTTTCAAAATGTCTTTCCGGTCTTCCGTGACCCTTGGCTTATTATTGGGGAAGGTCTTCACTGTCCTCGTGCAGAGAACTGTCTCTTCACATAAGTGGACATGGGAGCTCAAGGTGTCTGTTAGCTCGTCGATGGTTGTGAACGAATCATTGAACACGTCCCACACGCGTGAGTAGTTTTTGGGTGGGCATACAAAACAGTGATGTCCTCCAGCTACCCACAAGACTGGTCTTGCAAAGATCATTTTTCGGGGAGCAATGTAAGGAAAGAAGAAAGAAGGGCAGAAAAACAGAACATGCTGCATCACTAAGTGGTCAGCAAATCCTTTAGCACTGAGTATTCTGATACACAGATCATCAACGTGGCGCCCCGAAGACTCTACACAAGGTCTCAGCGTACAAGAAGAAGAAATTTCCCCCACTTGGCAGGGCAGCGGTAATAAAGGAGTACACATAGATTTGCTTAGTCAAGTTTTGAAAAAAAAATTTATCTTGCTTAGCCTGTTTCTGACACCTGCGCTTGTCCCACTGACAGTTGTCATTTGAGAACCTGCTAAATCACCTTATGACTTGTAATGATGAAAACGAAATTGCGTTTTAACCTCCAGAGACGAAGAAAAAGGGTTTCAAATTCTGTTACGTCATCGCAGCCAAAGGTGAAGCGTAATATTTGTTGCGCTCGTCACTATGAGCCAATCACAGGGGAGCCTGTTGGCCTTTTCAGCTTTTCGTTTTCTCTCACTCAGGGTGGAGTATGAAGGTTAAAGATTCGTTTTTATAACCAAAAAGGCTAACAAATCTCATTTCATACGAACAATAGCTCTGTCATATCTGTTCAATCTTTGTACTTTGCTTTTAGCTTTGAGTAGGAAATAAAGTGGACCAAACACCTTCATAGTATATTGAACAACAGGGCTGCTTTATACATTGCCAATGATAGGGCCGTTAAACCTATACCATTTCACCATTTATACACTGCCAAAATCTACAACGTTTCAATCACATTTTCAAAGCCTGCAAAGTCAAAACTTAGCAATGCCAACTCATAGCCGTTTCTTTTTTTAAGAACTTGTAGAATATGTCGGTAAAGCTAGTATATTACTTTCAAAATTGTAATTTGAGTATTTGTTTTGCAAGTGAGTGATCGATGTAGAGCCGTTTCAGCGAGCGGCCCACGTGGGCTTCTTCAAGTACTACCTCATTTGATTTCTTTTCGTTCCAAGATGTCTTCAGTAGTCTCTCAAGAAACCTCATTTTTGTTGTTTCTGTTTTATTTTCACTGCTTTTAGTGATTGCCCAGCATTCACAACATTATAAAAGAGTTGACCATACATATAATTTCAGAACGTTTATTTTTGGTCAGGATTGGGTTCCTTTTGTTAATACTATCTTTAACAATTTTTCGTAATGTAATCATAATGTCAATATTTTTATATTATATTAAATTACTGAACTTGTTTCATCTTTTCGCCTTGGCTTAGGAGAATACAAATAGGATTTACAGGGAGATCAAAAAATAAACTGTACAATTTTTTTGGTTAATATTTTCCTCCACACTGAAGTTTTGCGCTTCGAATTTATACACATTTGTAAGTCAAAGGAAATTAGTCAGGTATTCATTTTAGATAAATCCATAGAATAGTTTTTCTCCACAAAGCGCGTAAAAAACAAACATTTTTCAACGGTGTCTCCATTTTTGTGGCATGACGCACTAGTTCGCATTAGGCCTACCACTATAAATCCCTACAGTTGCGCCGTATTGCAAAATTCAGTAGTCTAAAAGGCCAACAGAAGTTTACAAATAAGTTTTCTCAAGTTTGCTTTCCCTGTTGAGATCATGGTTAAGATTAGTAAAAAGCAGAGAGTTTTTGTATTGAACATTTCCTCACCACCAACTCATTTCGTACATTTCGTACAAGGTACGGAAATAATGTTAAAGTGCCTTAAGGCCTTGTTTGATGTCAAGGGTGTATATAGTCCATCCGTTAGGACCTGTAATAAATCAGAAATAAAAATTCCCAGACAAAACGACTAATGATATCATAAATATTGTTGCCATTCACTTTTAGACCACATCCTTGCCTCACTCTTCTTCTAATCTACTTATATTGGCAGTATTCTCCATCAATTCTTTTACTGCATGGTTTTAGCCTTAGTACACTATACTTTTATCCAAGCAGACCGTAGAAAACTCGAAAACATTCTCAACTTCCCGGAAAGCAAACAGTGGAATCAGCTGGGGGGGGTCGGTTTTTTTTCTTGGGGGGGAGGGGGGAGGGGTAAGTGCTTTACGGCGCTCGCAACTGCATACGGCCATATGAGCCCGCGGAACCCATTTAACATCTTCAGTTAGTGGGAATATTTTAATTCTGTCCGGGTGGCGGCCGAAGCCTACTCTTATCGATTTAAGACCTCCAAGGGATCTTTAATACGAGCAACTTTCACTCGAGACCTCCGAGATTTTTTGCCCTTGTCCGAGAAGGTTGGATCTTTCCTGTTGTATCAGAAGATCAGGGGTGTTGCTGAAAGATAGCTGTAACATGGAGCCAAGAAGTAGCTGTAGAAAAGCTGCAGAAAGAGTCGGGAGCCCAGAGGATGAGGGCAAAGGGGGTGAGGGGGTGAGGGGCAGAAAGTGGAGACGAAAGAAGACAACAGAACATTGCTAGAGAGCAGGAAAAGGGGGTGAAAGGAAACAATTTTAGAGAAGAAAATTTTTCTATCTCTACCTGGATTCGAACCCGAAACTTTTGAAAGAGTGGCGAACACCTTAGCCCAAATACTTACAAACTGGCAAGATCTTTCACTGTCTATAGCTGGGTACCCATTCCCACCTGGGCGAGGTGATGGAAACAGCGTCGGGTCCTTGGCGGGATTCGAACCCATGATCTTACTGTTGCGAGTCTGAACACCTAACCACTAGGCCACCCTGATTTTAGCGTTATGACTGTTTTGTGATCAGTTGACAGATATTGAAAATAGCAACACACAACAAGATGGTTCTCTTAAATGTAAACGTTATACTATACAACATAATATGATTCAGTCAAAAACAGTAAACAGCAAACAATTCGCTTAAAGACAGTACACAGCCAGATTGGTCACCTAAAAATAAGACATATCTTTCACTCAAATAAGATATTATTACTTGGTTCACTCTATAACAGTGCACAACAAAGTTTAATAGTTCACTTAAACACATTATACGACCAGATGGTTCACTTAAACACATTATACGACCAGATGGTTCACTTAAACACATTATACGACCAGATGGTTCACTTAAACTTTAGATATCTCTTTCACTCAAGGACAGTACAGACACAACGAAAAACATGTAGTTCACTCTATACGACAGTACACAGTAAACTAGGTCAGTTAAAGACAGAACACAAAAACTAGATAATTTAACGATTAGATCATATGGTTCACTCAAAGACAGTACACAGATAAATATTCACTCAAAAACACTACACAATTAGATGTCTCACTCTAGGACAATACACAAGATTGTTCACTAAAACACTGTACTCAACATTTCTTTTTAAAAGGGGGGGGGGGGTCGCTCCAAGAACTAACAGACATTCTTGTAGATGCAGTTACGGTAGCTGGTAAAACGATTTATTTCGTATCCCATGCAGAGTTCTTTTAGAACAATCTATCTTTTGTGTTTCAAGTAGAGACGGGCGGGTAGCGCTTTTTCCTTCCCGAGCGAGAAGACCGAGAAACTGACCTATTTCTCGCCAAGACCGGTCCCGAGAACGAGAAATACTTCCCGTCTCTTGTCTCGGGCAATGCTTCTCGTCTCGTGACCAATTTCTCTTCTCGCCCCGCAGTTCGAGCCACTCGTTCAGCGAGAAGGCCGGCCGTGGCCGAGATTTCTCTTCTCGCCCCCACAGAACGAGCAGCTCGTTAAGCGAGAAGACCGTCGTGGCGAGGATCTAAACTTAGATTAGAAACTAGGCTTGCCCTGTTGCGCTGGCGCAGGCGGTGAAGGAAGGTAGGGAGACGACCTAGGCCTAGGCCTAACTCCCCACTCGCCTCGTCTCCGCACCCACTCCCCGCCCTTTCAGTTTCACACACAGGACGGCACGGTGATGGGTGGCACTGTCTGCGTTGTCATTTCTCGCCTCTCACTCTCTCACTCTCGTTACCGTTGCTCTTTATGTCAAGCCAACGGGCAGTATCACGTCTCGGTACCGAGCAGAAGTTTAGTGCCCGGGCAGTGACGGGAAGGCCGTTACTCGCGAGAAACGAGACTCGGCTCGTCTCGTGCCCGCCCCTGCGCTTTTCCCTTTCGTCAACCCGCAGCCACCTCCCGAATCGTCACCACCCCCTAACCTTTGACACGGGTCAAACTTCCATCTATTTATAGGTAGTAGGTAGTTACCGGAACATGTATAGGCCCTAGGTGAAGTGATGTGCCGTGATAGTCGCGATATATTATTTATTGAGATTGTTTTGGTCTCTCTTTACTCATCACCACGAGAATTTCTTGAAGTTTTTCCCTGGACTCTGCCTTTACTAAAATCTCGAACCTAGATCTAGATCTAGAGTTGTAATCTAGTGGCAGGTTGCAGATTTCTGTTGTTATCCAGTACATTCAAGAGATTAAATAAATTGGACTAGACTCTAGTAGTAGACTCTTCTACTTCTACTTCTAAACCTTCGAGATTACAAAGGCCAAGCCTAGGTTTGTATGGATTCGTTTTGTTAAAAGTGTTGTTTAACACAAAGTCTATGAAGTTAGCAAACATAACACGCTGTTTTCTAACGAAATGAAGCTTAAATTGACTTTTATATTGTCAATAAGAGATCAAGTTTAATCACCTAATCATTTAAGTAAGGAAGTGGCTATCCTCACCCGGGGTGAGAATAAAAACCCAACGATTGACCTCTCACCCCGGGTGAGACTTGCCAGCGTTGGCTATTCTCACCGAGTGAGAAACAAGACCTGTTTTTCCTAATTTCGAAATGCTTTCTATCGGTGTGGGTGATCAAATTGACAAAAGCAAAGAAAAAAATGACGCTATAGCACAAAAGAAAGCTAATTTGATCGCCTACAAAGATGCTATGGCTCTTTCACTTTTCGAATCGACCGAACTACGCGGGTCGCCATTTTGCTTTGCCCGAGAGTTCTCGCAAGATCTACTCCTCCCCCTTCTCTCGCTCTCTCTCTCTCTCTCTCTCTCTCTCTCTCTCTCTCTCTCTCTCTCTCTCAGCAATTTATTAAATCTGCAACCTGCAATTAGATTACTACTAGACTTTAGTAAAGGCAGAGTCCAGGGAAAAACATCAATTAAATTCGTGTGGTGCAGATGAGTAAAGAGAGACCAAAACAATCTCTCTAGTGCGACTATCATTGCACATCACTTCGCCTAATACATGTTCCGGTAGATTTAACTACCTATAAATAGATGGAAGTTTGACCCGTGTCAAAGGTTGGGGGTGGTTGACGATTCGGGAGGTGGCTGCGGGTTGACGAAAGGGAAAAGCGCCCCGCCCCTAGTATCAAGTACGTCACTCTCATAGAATGGCGCTGCAGTATAGAGGCCGATACCGACATGTTTTGTTGGGGGGGGGGGGGGGTTCTTGGTTTGTTTGTTTTTGGTGGGGTTTTTATTAGGGGGAGGGGTAAGTTCGTTTGCTCTCAGTCACCCAAATGGTGGAAAGGGTCGACTTTTGATGTAGGAGGCGTTCTCTCAAATAAAGGAGTACTTTTGTTGTTCTGTGAGATCTGTTTGGGGGGTTTTTTTCTTTCGTTTTGTGTTTAAATAAAAGAACTGAACCACCTTGTAGGGTACGACCCTTGTTTAGAATAGGGAAGGTGACCGCCCTGCAAGTATTATCTTTATCTCAAAGTGGAGTGAGTCATCTCGACAAGTTTGATTGTGTAGAAAATGAAAGCGCTCATTGTTTTGCCACCCCCCCCCCCCCACCCTTTCCAGGAAAAAAGAAAACAGTACTTATTGTGGGGTCTTGTCCGGGCAAAGCTAAGCCAGGGATATCTAAAGGTCACCAAACAGCTAACTGTTATTGCTTCTTTAAGACCTTTTCAAGCAAGTTTTGACTCATGGACAGTCCTTGGTTTCAAAATGTAGGATGGCATCATGTGAAGAAAAGATCTTGCTTTCTTTTATTGAAATGTACCGTAATTCTTTCGTGGAGATAAGACTGACAACTAGCCAAATAGTTACCGACTCAAAAATGAATCCAATACCATATCCCAATATTAATTAGTTTGTCGAGGATGATATCTAGACTTACCAGAAAACATAGAACTAAGCCGACTTTCAGCATCTTGCTTCAACTCTCTTCCACTCGGCTAATCAGAAGTAAACGAACGTAGAACTCGAGGGACAGTATGTATCAACGACCGACTGTTCGGCTTATCGGTCTAAAGTTACGCTTTTATAATGTACACATAAGTTCACCCAGGTTCAGAAGTAAGGACACCAGCAGTGCCTTATCTTAACAAAATAGCACATCTCATTTTTGGGTTATTTTTTAAGTAAATGTAAAATCTATTTAATTAGACTATAATTTATCATCTGCCTGCCTGTTTCCTTTTGGGACTGCCTGTTCTTGTATGAGTTGTGTCATTCTGTTTGAGATTTGTGCCAAAATAAAACTGGCATGGTTGAGATATGCCATTTTGTAAGCTAGACTTTGGACACATGCATTTTCTTTTTAAAATGTGCAATGCTTTCAAGGTTCTGGGTCACTTCAAAAGGTGGGGCACATTATGCTTAGATCCAATCTTTCAAGGTTCATCCTTTTAGTGATGTTCACTTGTCTCTTTGGTTTTCGGAAAAATGCTACCTTCTGTCAAATGTCCGGCAATTCCAAACAGAAACATTGAATTAGATCTACTAGTGGTTTTTAGGTCCTGCCTATATTTTGGAAGACAAAGTGTAAGTATAATATTATAAAGGCGACTTACATTCGCCTGTAACATAAACTATATTCCACGTTTATTCACAGACATTGAATATGAACAAAGGTAAACAAACGTACTCAGAGATCTACTAAAGCTAGAATCGAAACTACTGCCGGTTTAAATATATGACAAAGTTCGCGAACTATGATCTTATGTCCGCTTCTAAAATAAAAGTAATTTTCTTGATAGTCGAATAGACTTCGTAGTGGGGTTCTCGTGGTCTAAGGGTTTGCCTCTCATTCAATAGGTCCCGGGTTCGAATCCGGAGAGCGACGGAAAATGTTCTTCTTCAAAATGTTCTCCTTTCACCTCCTTTCCTGCTCTCTAACCCTATTTTGTTTGTCTGCTTTCGTCTCCACTTTCTGCCCCCACCCCCTCCCATTTGCCCCTTCCTCTGGGTTCCTGACTCTTTCTGCAGCCTTTCAACTGTTACTCCTCGGTTCCTTCTCTCTGATGTCTTTCATCCACACCTCTGATCTTAGAGTTGGTAAGATCTAACACCTAACCTTCTCAGATTACAGCGAAAATCTAGGAGGTCCTGTGTGCAAGCTGCGCACGTTAAAGATCCCTTGATGGTCCAAAATCGATAGAAATAAACTTTGGCCACCACCCGGGAAAAATTCGAAATTTCCAACCAACTGACAAATGTTAATGTGTCCCGTGCGCTTGATGTGACCTTTTGAAGTTGCGAGCGCCGTAAAACACTTACTAATTATTTTTTTTACAGACCTGGGAGGGGAAAAGAATAGGGCTGACGCTCAATCTGAGTGTCGCAAGAGTCAACTGAAGACTCCAAGGTGTGGCTGCCGAAATTATTCACCTGGTCCTAAGTTTCATAGTAACACCCCTTTCTTGTAAAGAGATCCAAACTTCAAAAACTCTAACAAAGGTAATTAAAAGTGTAAATTTCTTGGGGGATCCTGATACCATTAAAGAAATAAATTATATTGAAATGAAGCGTGGTGGCAAAAGGAAACCACACAGCGGCTGTGTCCACTGCTGACCAGGACAACAAAATCGGGACATGGAAGGTAAAGACCGTGTATTATACAGATGAAGCATTTCAGGTTGCTGCAGAAAGTAAAGGATACAAAACTGATATTTCGGGATTTCGTGAAACGGGATGAAACTAATCAGGACAACGCATATTTCCTACGAGGGGTGTTATTTTATATTCAAAACTTATGGACAACAGCTCAGAATGCTCAAAAAGAGTAGCTTTCATCATGAGAAATGTGTAACTAAGGGTGAAAACAAATCAACAGAAAATAAATATAAACATCAGACCATAAAAAATGGAATCAGATTGGACACACCCTGGGGAAACCGAACACTAATATTACGCATCAAACTTTTAAGATTGAATCTGTGCTCAGGGAAAGAGAAGGAAAGGAAGGCCTAAAATCATTTGGGGGAGGGCCTTAGGTTCCGACAGAAAGAAAATGAGAATAGAAGTGGAGACTGTAGCCCAGGACAGAAGTACATTGAGAGCTTCTGTTGGTGTTCCCCGGAAACTGGTGATAAATGTTGATGACAAGGATGAAATTTCTTGACTGTTCTCCAGTGATGAAAAGCCCGTCGCATTCATCTACTCAATGCACCTAATATCTATACCAAACTACACAAAGGGCACGACTCGTTACGCAAGATAACGCCAAGAATGACAATTTTGCAATTAGCTGGATGGTGAGATATGATATTGTCAAAATAATAGAAGATGCAGGATGGCACTACTCATGAACTGATATGTGTACCATTTATTTTTTATTTATGTTTTGTTATTGTAGTACAAAAACAGAGGAGAATTCTTGGCATCAAATGGCAAGATTAAATACCAGACATCGAAATTCTCAAAAGACTTCGATGGGCTTGCCTTTTCGTAACAATGCCTGATTTCAGAATCCCAAAGGCAGTGTTCAATTCTGAACTGTCCTCGGGGACGCATAAGGTTGTTGCACCAAAACACGCTACAAGGACACCCTGGAAATGTCTCTGAAGGACTTCAACATCAATCATTTGACATGGGAGAGACTTGTTCCTGACAGACCAGTTGGAGAGCAGCAGTCACATTGGGCAGCAAATCATGAGACATCACAAATAAGAAATGCTGAGATCAAGATAGAAGCCCACAAGCTGCGCACATTCACTAATGGAAGTGGAGCCTTTAAATGTTTAAGATGTGGCAAAATGTTTTCATCCAGAATTTGCCCCTTTAACCACAACAGAAGCCACAAGTCATCGTAACCTTTAATTCTTCTTTTTTTTTCTATTCCACTGGAGAATAAACATTCTCCTCTGCGCATGTATTGTTCATCGTCAGACATTGACAGACGAGCTATTATTATTACAAAAACAGACCTGCACATTCTTATTTTAATGTTACCAAAAGATAGGTATAGTACTGTACCACCAAGCAAAATAAAAGGCTAGATCTAGTTGCATTTTGGCATTACTGTGACTTATGCCGTTGTGCTTGCCCAGTGACGTCTGTTGTTTTGTAGTTCTCTTGCTTTTGCAGATAAAATTATTGCCCTATAAGCCCAGTTGTTACATTTCGAAGGTGAAGGGTTTTTTCCTCTGTCACATGTTTTGTCACATGCTTTAAGCCAGTTTCCTTCCCAAACTCCGTCTTTCCTATCAAATATTTATCATACATACCTTTCCTCCTTTTTGTAACTGTTATTCTCTTTTAACACATGTAATCGACGACACTTATACGCCCTAACTGTGTTGCAAATGCCGTAAAACGCTCAGTTACATTTTCAAAAAGTATTTCTGTTTAATTTGGGTGGGAGTAGGTGTTCATTATTCTTACGTGGAGCTAAGACCGACACCTAGCCAAACATGGACCCATTCAAACAAATCAATATCCCCTGTGGTCATTAGTTTGCCTCACTAAAAGCGACGTTTTGACTTACCAAAAAGCATAGAACTAAGCTGACTTTCAACATCTTGCGTGAACTCCTTTTCCCTCAGTTATTCAGATGAGGACAAAAGTAAAACTTGAAGGCCAGTATCGACGACAGACGTGTCTGCTTATCTGTCTTCCTAGGTAAGTGTTTAATATGCTCACAAAAATGCATTATGATTCAATATAAAGACATCAACCTCTACCCCTACCCCCTTTCCCAAGTAAAAATAACTACCTTATCTCGTTTTTTTAGTTTACAATTTTCTCATTTTTTAGAATTAAACTGACTGCCTAATTAAACCATAATTTGTTATATTTCAGAGGAAAAGTTTGCTTTTTTCCACCATCATTTGTTAAGTCATTCTAGTCCACGAACCTTCTGTTATACTTGGGGGGAGTGGAGGGTGTCGTTCTGCCAAGTGACGCGTCTTACTGTATGCAGTTACGATAAGAAAAAAAAGCAAGTATTATGAAACAAAAACTTGAAATTTCTTGGGCTCACATTCTTGCTATTAAATTGACGAGAAACCGAACACTTTAAGAACGCAGTCATGTTAACCCCACCGGATGTATTCTGAACAAAGTGTAGAACAGTAAACTGCTGGGAAACGAACAACTTTTTTCCATTTTAAACGACAGATAAAAGGAAATAAATTAAGGCAACCACGCCCTCAAAGACAGATGATACAGATGATGATGGCGATAGTGATGATAATGATAAGTGAAAAAAAGAAATGTGTTGAAACAATTGTAGATATACATTTACATGTTCTTTTGCCTTGTATTTCGTTTTTAAAATAGCTATCTATCTTGAATAGCAAGGGAGATATTTGTGATTAAGGAGGTGAAGGTCGTTTTAGAAGTAAAATTAACGAGAAAATTGCCAACAACGTTTGGTGACTTCTAAAGCTTCGGTCGCCTTGGAAATTGCAAATCCTCATGTTTTGTGCCTTTGATTACCGTTTCGTAGTAGAGTCCACACAGTAATGTACTTTTGAATGGATGTAAAAAAGAAGTTAAGCATCCAAAAAATTGATAAACATTGCCTATGGGGAGGAAAATACTGGTTCCTTTAAAATCTATTTTAACGAGCGCCCAATTTTACCTCGATGCAATGCAAATTTAATACTGTATTTTTTGGAATTTAACCACTCAAACAACGAGAAAGAGAACAAGAATTGCTACTTTCGCGGACAAGAATGAAAGGGGGGGGGGGGCGGGGGGGGCGTGGTTATAGGAGTGGTTATACTGATATAGAGAAGCCCAGACAGAGACAGTGACTAAAACATTTTTTGACATTGTTTAAGATAAAAAAGGGGAGGGGGGGTAAAGATAAGGCAAACAGGGCGTGATGCCCACTCTTACATAAATTAGCTCCACGACGAAGATAAAACATGAACACTGAAAAAAATGGCCAAATACGAGAGAAATTGTTTGACCTTTATTGCTGTATTATAACAAATCGGTTCTTCTGAACTTGCCTCAGCTCTCAGTGTTCCTCTGATCTTGGCCAAATCTTTTTTTTTCTCTGAGAAACCAGCACCACGTTTTGTTTGGGGGGGGGGGGTTGTTTGTTGTTTTTTGTTTTGTTTGTTGTTGTTTGTTTTGTGTTTTTTTCTGTTTAACTGTTTTTCTCTCTCCATCTCTTATCTTAACCCTCAGTGCTGTCTTAGTCTCAGAAAATGAAACGTTTACGTAACGAAGTCTGTTGTTTCCCTTTTCTTGCCCTTATCTTCTTCCGCTAGCTTGGGATGTTTGTTCGCAGGCACGAAACGCTAGGATGTTTTTGATGGACGGGAGCGCATCATACCCGGTTGTCTCGAACACGAACTGGTCAGATGGGGCAGAGGCGATGTCCTTCAACTCCTGGTCATATACAGAAGATCCCACTCCTGGTTATGAAAATAAAATGATTTAAAATGAGTTAAGCCTTCATCATTAAAAATCTATGGCCTATTACACGTTCACTTAAAACTGACAACCGCTCGTCCTCTTTAAAATCGACTGTGATAAGTAAATACCTTATTATGTTATTTTGATTTTTTTTAAATCTTTTCTGCGTTCATTAAAATTCGGGTAGAAAATGAGTCATCTGCGAGACATTTTGTTAATAGTAATATGCTGGTTCCGAATTTGATGGCATTTTTACGATAGACCGTAGTTTTTAATAAGTTTATAAACAAATTTGTTATTGGCGGCGGACCGCAACTTAGTCTTGTACAGCCTGATGTGTTCTGTTTCGTCAGGCCGTATGGTCGGCTACAAAAAGAGCAGGACCTTCGGGCTGCCGTCCAGTCAAAATTCAAAATTACTCCTACCCAAAAACTGAAGCTACTCTCGTCAGCATAACTATTCAGATTAACGGTACGAGACTGCCTGTCATGTAACGGCTCATTTTACGTTCTATGTAAATAAAACAGCCATGCACTTACATATCAACTGCACTTTATGTGAATTACAGACAATTATCCCCTGAGATTTAAACGTGTACGAGAAGAAGATGGTAAACGATCAGATGTATCCTGAGAGAGAGAGAAAGAGAGAGAGAGAGAGAGAGAGAGAGAGAGAGAGAGAGAGAGAGAGAGAGAGAGAGAGAGACTTAGAACATTACAGTGGCAATCTACCAAGGCAAACCACGCATCTGGTGTCAGTTCTGAACAATCGGACAAGAACAGTCGTTGCTACTCAGCAGACCTACCAACGCCATTATGGTGTTTAGATTAACACGCCTTTCATTTAAGTTATTTAGGTGACATGACGAACGACTTTTCACGCCAACCTCCAACTGGACCGAGCCGAATGGATGGAAAGCCATAAAAACTCACCCAAAACAATCCAAGTTCAGTACGCCCCGTTATGGATTCGAACCAGGACCATCCGCTCTGTAGTCCAGCATGACAACAATTGAGCTAACAGTGCGCCCCAGATCAAAGAGAGTCGACAGAGAAAAGCCAATGTGGACACTCCCCCAATAAGTAATTACTGACCTATAGCAAACACAACAATCTGCAAGGGCTGTAAGCAAACCGACCTATAGCAAACACAAAGGCCCCGGAGTTTTTGAGCGCTTTGGCCTGAGCCTGAGTGTCCAGGTATTTCTGTGAACGGCCGTCAGTGATGACGATGACAACATGGGGCACATTAGACCTGGAAAAAGAAACAGGTAAAAGGCAGTGGAGAACAGCATTATTAAATAAGTAAGTACGTAAGTAAATAAGTAAGTACGTAAGTAAGTGCGTAAGTAGGTAAGTACGTAAGTAAGTAAGTAAGCAAGCAAGCAAGCAAGCAAGCCAGCAAGCAAACAAGCAAGCAAGAAAGCAAGCAAGCAAATAAGTAAGCCCAGAACTCAACGCCAAGGTACACATAGGGGCGTTAATTTTTTTGCACCTTAGCTTTGCTATTATAATCGTTTATTTTACCAACATATATGCATACAAACACTCACCCACACCCACACCCACACCCACAAACACACACACACATACACACACACACACACACACACATACACACACACACTCACACACACACACGCACGCACGCACGCACGCACGCACGCAAACAACCATACACACAGGGGTATAATCAAACACGCCTGTGACTGTGAGCACATGTAAACAGACACAAACAGATATGCGGTTAAGCTTTCCACCAAGTTTCTCCCATTTCATTTTCGCCTTTGGAACGCAAGAATTAAACCCTGTACTGAAAGGAGAAAAACTCCCAAAGACTCCCAAAGACTCCCATCCAACATGAATTGAAATGTGCTGGAAGACACTATTCCAAAGGCTACAGGACGAGCAAAAAGAAAGAGGGGTGGAAAGTTGAACATGAACAATAATTCAGAAGAAACAAAAACTGGAGCGAAATGGGAATAACATTGGCTAGGGAAAGCACGTCTATCCCAGTCTGATCCTTACCAGCATGAAACGGAACTACCATACTTGTAGAAGCAGTGGCGGGCGCCATTGGTTCAATTGATGCAATCGCTCCACCTAACCCTGGCCTTCACACCCCCCTCCTTTTCTATTTGTTCTAACCCAGTCAGTGCTCTAAATTTACAATACTACATCCTTGCGATCCGTCACCCGCTGGCTGCGCCAGTGAAGAGACAGACAGCAAAGATGGTTTATGCTGGTGGCACCGCTTGCGGTAGTGTCTGCGGGGAGCAAGCAAAATCTTTGCATCGAAGTAATTTGGTCACTGTAGAGAAATTTAGGCATCGTTTTTCCCGCACAAGAAGAAAGGTGCATGAAACTCCTCTTTGCGGCACCAATTAGGTGCAAGCGAAAAATTTGATCCCTGTTTCCGCTAGGCTAGCCTATCTACTACCCTAACTCAATGAAGAATGGGTATCGAAACTGTTGTCTCCCTCTATTGTGTAGCAAGTCCTGTTACTGCACGAAGTAATTAGAACTCTTTAACTATTCTCAGATTGTGAGCATAGTGAGTTGTTAGTATTGTTTCACTTTATTGCAGCTTTTATACCGTTTCATCTAGAAACAGTTGTAAATATCGATAGATGTAGATTACGGGATATCCTACAGATTCTAACTGACTTTCTCTAGAAATATTTCCAATTATGCACCACCTTGTCTGTACCCCACGCGACGCCACTGTGTAAGGGGATTGGGAATTGGAGTAGGGGAGAGGGGAGAATGGGGATCGTAGGAGACATGCTTTGCTGGACAGTGAGATCACGATATTATCCGTTGGTTACTATGTCCTCTGTCCGTGTCTCTTCTGAGCGCGTTTACTTGTCAAGGGTTTGACCTCGCTCAAAAGCAACATATCAATACAGGGCCATTCACTGAAATGACTAACCTAAGTCTGGTAAACTCCTAAACTAAAAATCAAACCGACAGAAGTGTACCTGACACCATGTTCTGAGGTGAGCACTGAGCCGTTGACCAGTTTGAGGGCAGCTCCTGTATTGGTGTTGCCTCCAGTGTAAAGAATCTTCTCTGTGCGATCTGTCACGTCTTTCTTCAAGTAATATTCGTCAAGATGGAACTCCACTGACGCGTTGGTGCTGTTGAACGAGGGAAAGAAGGAGGCGGGGCGGAAGCAGAGAGTCAGGGTGGGGTATCGGTTAAAATGGGAGAATATGGGAGGGGGCGCTCTAAAAAAACAGGAAGGTGTCGAAATTAATAATTTATCTACGTATCAATAAACTTATAAAAAGGTGTCCCCATAGCTCTATCGGATGGATGTTGATGCAGACATGGCGTCATTAGCACCCTAGTGTCATGGCATAAACTCAACACTTAATGGCAACGCTGCTTGAGGGTTCCACGGCGTACAAGTCCTAATAGATTCGAATCTGCCCTTGCGGTCATCTCTCCATAGTGGTCACCTGTATTAAAGACTTGCTGTCCATCAGCGGTTCCTGTCCAACAGAGCCACATTTAATCATTTTCACAACAAGTCGGTCTTAAAACCTGCTCATGGTGGTCATTCGATCTAGAAGTATTCCGCCAATCCGTTCTCAGACCGAGTGTATACGTTCAATCAATGCAAAGAAGCTCTCGTCATAGACATTTTTTATGTTGATTTTCTGTTGGTGTTTATCACCATCATCGCTGCCTTTCTCAAAGGCCTTCTCATAGTCAAGAAAGTTGGCAATCAACTGATAGTCCCTCTCCAGGACCTGTTCCACTATTATCCTCGGCGTGGCAATCTAGTTGATGGTGGACCGATTTTCTCCTACTGGTGACTGGTGAATCTTAGGTAGCCTTGTGAATTCTTTTGTGATGAAAAGCAGAACCTTTAATGACAAAACTGCTGAAAGCACCGATATCTGAACTCGCTCACCATATGCGTTCATTTGTCCCAAGCCACGTTGTCCCCCAAACCTAGGTTGTCCTCACGTATCTCGGCATTGGCGTTTCCCACTATGATGTTGACCTTTTCAGCTCTAAAAAATATTTTTAACTTGGACCTATCCTTAACAGCCACCTGTCTCTAACGGCCATTTTCTCTGTAATCTTGAGTGACCATAATGGACAAGTTGGACTACACGTTAGATAGCACTGATATAGCTTGGAAAAACACATCCTCTGAGCAGCAGAATATAACAAGGAAAAGTGACGGTATCTCAGGACTACCTGAAGGAGACGATAGCGACTCTGGTCTTGTCTTTGCCAATGTCAAACATCTTAATGAGGTCTGATACAAAGGTCAGTTGTTTCTTGAAGTCCAAAATGTAGATACTGCTGGACTTGTCCAACGCGAACACCACTTCTGCTGGCTTCTGTTGGCACTCTAGGGGTGGAAATACAAGAGGCATGTCATTGGGCTGGAGTTAGAGACGGGGACCGGAGGGGAGGGGGGGGGGCAGGGAAAAAGGGAAGAAGGCAGGTATTTGGAAAAGCGAAAACGGCATGATAGTAGAAGTATCGACAGCCATGATGATGATTTTAATTATGTTTATGGTACGGTTGGCTATGATTTGGCTTTTCATCGGAATGTTGCTGATTCTGTGCTGACTACCGTTATTGGTGATAATAATAATGATGATTTGTTACTTACCCCCTCCCCCTCTCCTCTGCCCCTTCCTATTCTCTCATCCCCTCCTCATCCTTTTCCTCCTCCCCTTTCCCCTCCTCCCTTCTTCTTTTTGTTGTTGTTGTTGTTGTTGTTGTTGTTCTTCTTCTTCTTCTTCTTCTTCTTCTTCTTCTTCTTCTTCTTCTTCTTCTTCATGGTATCGTCTTGGACTTTGTTGTTGATGTATCCTCACGTCGTTGTTGTCACCACCAACGCCATTTCTTCTCTACGACAAGTTTATCGGCCAGCACAATGGACGCCTCTCACATCTCACAAGCAACAGCGGTATCTCTTTCACGATGTCCATACGTAAATACTTCTTTATTTGACTGAAATTTGATAGAAAGGTACATCGAAATAGCTCACCTTTCTCCGCAACTGCCTGGTCCATGGGCATATCTGTGGGTCCAAGATCTTGATCGAGGTTCGACGAACGAGAAGGGTCAGGTTGAAAGGGGAGGTGGGGGTGGAAGAAAAGGGAACAGTATTCGAATATAGATAATAATATAAGAGTATGTTACCAAAACTCTGTTGCTATACTACATTGTCAAATATAAATTTGTGTTAAGAGCAAAAGAGAAATATTCGATTTTCCTTTCTAGAAACGGGTCTTTTGCGTTGATAAATCTGTCTCTTTTCTCTTTCCTTTTATCTTTTTCTTTCGTATTTTTGTTTCTTTTCTTTCCTTTTAATTTGATTTTTTCTGCTGGACAGCTTAGGATCAGACATAATTTCTACTTGGACAAAAGAAGACCTCTCATCCCAACAAAATTGTAATTACCCCGTTTACAACACGGTTGATTAAAAAAGCACAGTTTCTTCGTCCTGTTTTGTGGAGCATTTCGAGGTTTACTTTTAGGATAAGGAAAAAAACCCAACTAATCGAAGACTAAGTGAAGGGGGAGAGACATGGTGATTTGGGAGGTGACGTTCAAATTAGCCCATTTTGAGAAATACGCGTTTCAAGAAAATACAGCTCCCAGTTTGAGTAAATTAACTCATATTGATATACGAGAGGAAATCGTGCTATGCAACGCCAGAAATTTTGTCTTTTCATATTTTGTAGAAACAGATTAATGGAAAAAACTGCATTTCCTCCAAAATATTTTTTTCAATTTCTTCTGTATTTCCTCGAAGTTTACCAGTGGTAAAGTCAGCACTCCACTGTTTACCAGTGGATTTCAATAAAATATAGCTGGATTAACAGCAATATGACTTCTCATATTGTATACAAGGTGACAGGATATCCTGTTTAGTGTTCTATTATTAAAATTGCGCCTCAAAACGTCAAAAAAGATCATGTGTTTTTCCTCAGATTGAAATGGCAACCCTCTTTCAAATTGTATTTCTAAAAGCCCTGAATATAATGAATATAAGTGTGACAGGCTGTGTCTATATTTTAAAAAAGGAACAAATTGCTTTTACTATTATCAGAGATCGCTATGAATCCAAGACAGCCATCATTACCTGGTTATTTTGTTGTTGATGTTGTTTGTGGTTTGTGTTTGTTTGTA